ACCCCCTTTTTGTGTGTGTATGGAGGCAAAGGCCAGAGGTAGATAACAGGGTCATCTTCCTCAGCCACTGTCAACTTTTTATTTTGAGAATGAGGTCTCTTACTGAACTGATTCAGCTATGCTGAGTTGGGCAAGGAACTCTAAGCATTCATCTCACTCTACCTTCTGAGTGGTAGGAGCACAAGTGTGTGCTGCAGACCTTTTTTCTATATATAGCTGATGGTGATTGAGCTCAGATATTCATGCTTACAAGGCAAGCATTTTACTGACTGAGCCACATTCTGAGCACTGGGCTATAACATGAATAATAAAAACACAGGGCAGGAGAGGAAGCTAAGCCTGGATGGATGGGAGTCGGGAGTGCTAGTTTTCTCCTGAACTCAAGTGGCTAGATTTGGGTTCCTCTCTGGCCTGTACCGGTGGTTGAAACCTCAGGCAAAGAGATTTTTCTTTTTGTAAATTTGCACCCCAAACATAGCAAATATAGCCAAATATAGCCAAATATAGCAAAAAATAAATACCCAGAGACAGAAATTGAGGCTCAACCTAAAGGACAGAAAAGCAAAACAGTTGGCCACTGGCTCTTACCTCTACCTCAGTCTGAAATGGTGATCCTGCCCCCCAGGAATCCTCAGAATGAGACAGAGAGTGACAGTTGTCTCCTCCTTTCTCATATTCCTCTCTACAGCTGAGATTAAAGGCATGTACCACTACCACCCAGTTTCTATAGCAAACTAGTGTGGCTACTGGGATTAAAAGTAGGTGTCACCACTGCCTGGTCTGTAAGGATGACCAATGTGGCTGTTTTACTCTCTGAACTTCAGACAAGATATATTTCTTAAAATACAAATGAAACATTACTGCATTAATATGACATTTAAGATGTTTTAATAACATGTTTGTTTTATGACAATGAGGCATGACTGCTCTTGGCAGCACCAATCTATTTCAGAGAAGATACTGGGCATGAAAGAAACTCCACATGGAGTTTAATTTCTTTGTGGCAAAAGTAAACTGCTTGGCAAGAAAATTCTCATGCATTGGCTCCTGAGAGTATGCTGTCCTAATTGGACAAGAAGGACACATAAGAAAGTGACTGCCAAACTTTGTCAAGATAAAGAGGGATAGTCCTTCAAAATATCCTGCTTCTCAGAAAAGTCTATCTATGCTAGTCCTGTAGGATGAAGATAGATGCTCCAATTTTGCAGAGGAACTTTGGGTGATTGTCCAGGCAGTCAGTTGATTCTGCCATTTCTCACATTTTTTGGAAGTAGCTTGCTTGCACTTCCTTCTTACTCCGTTAATATTATTTCCTTCTTAGGTCTCTGAGGAAGTTGAAGATTAGATAGGTATTGTTATAGTTTACCAGACTCAGAAAGCAAGTTATGATAGAAAGTAAATTAGGTATAAAATTTTGGACTCACCAAAATAGGATAGATATGAAGTATTTTCTCTAAATTTGTCAAATACAAATGGACTAGACATTGTTGATGTACTTATCACCTGTATATATTGTATATAGTCATTGTACTTATTGTATATAGTTTTTTTTATATTAGTTATAACCTTCCCCTATTTTATATTGGACAAAAGAGGAAATGTGGTGATATTTCATTTGTATTTTAATAAATAAAGCTTGCCTGAAGTTCAGAGAGTTAAAAAAAAAGCCACATTGATCAGCCTTACAAACCAGGCAGTGGTAACACACACCTTTAATCTCATAGCCATACTAGTTTGCTATAGAAACCAGGCAATAGTGGTGCAGGCCTTTAATCCCAGCCCTAGAGAGGAATATAAGATGGGAGGAGACAGCTCTCAGACCCAGTATCATTCTGAGGATTCCTGGGGGCAGGATCACCATTTCAGACTGAGGTAGAGGTAAGAGCCAGTGGCCGATTGTTTTGCTTTTCTGTCCTTCAGGTTGAACCCCAATATTTGTCTCTGCCTTTTCATTGATCATGCTACACTGGGCTGTGACAGTTTTTGGGTGCCGTGTGGGTGTTCTTGAGAACGTCTACTCACTGAGGTTTACATGGTTTTTTTTTTCCTCTTGGTTGTTCTGGGGATAACACAGGGGATAACACATTTCGTCACAGCAGAAGCAGACCATCAACACACATCACTGTGACATCAGCTTAGCATCGAACTGAGAAAATGCCTGTCCATCATCTCTACAATGAGGTATCTTCTTTTTTTTTGTCTCTCTATATTGTGCTCTTTTGAAGGAAGTCCCATGTGGAGCCCACATTTAAGGAGTAGGAACATTCTCCTCCCTGAAGTGAAGGACAACTACATAAATAATATGGAATTCTTTATTGTGAACTATTTGTCTCCTGGGTAACACATTCTCCTGTTTCTCAAAATATTTATTTATATTGGCATTGGCATGGACTCAAGGATACTTATTTAGCATGGTGAGTTTCATTGGATATTTTGTGACTTGGGGGGGGGGGTTCAAGCTGTTCAACTCTGGCCTTTGGGGCCTCCTCAGCTGATACTTGATACTTGAAATTCTCCTGCTGAGCTTCTAATTTGGACTTTCTTCTGAATTTCCAGTCTTCCTGCCGCCATGAATTCCCCAGATTCACCATGTGTCTTTCCTGCTCCATGCCCCCAGCCAGCCACTTATCCCAAGAACCCCGCTTCCTTGTATGGAAGAACACTATCAGGAATCAAGATCTGGGTCCTGCAAATGTTTGTTTTCTATGTGGACACTCTTACTTTCAGGCCCTCTCAGCTAACAGGGCGAGGAAATATGTATGTGTATAAAAATTGGCGTATATAAACATATCTCTATTTATTCCTGTGTATTTATGTGCATCGATGATAAACTAAACATGAGTTCATGCTGATGTCTCAACTCTAATCCAGTAAATCCTAAGTGAATCATTCTAGACCTCTTCTCTGACTTGTCTATAAACTCCCACTCAGAGTGAAAGAAATCTAGTGCTCGCCATCTGCCATCCATTTACTCAATTGCTCGGTTCTAGTACGCACATATAGCGGTTTCAGAGCTGTTAGCCCGATCCCATGGGACTCAACCTCCCCAATGAGAGCACAGAGCTTATGGGCAGCATTAGCATCAGGTCTGACTCATTTTTAACATCACTTAGTTTAGTGCTTTCATCCCCACTCCCTTCAGTGAAGTCATTGTGAACTTTTCTGATACAGATGGCTTCTTCTGCCTAGGCTCCAATCCATCCTCCGAACACCCAAGAGTGAGCTTTTACTTGCATGCACATTAGGTTTCAATCTGTGCCGTGAAGTGCTGTGGGTGTTGATAAATGGGTAGTGCCATGCACCTTGTCTCATGGTCATGCAGAATTGTTCCTCCACCTTAACAAACAGGACAGCATTCCTTTGAGGATTTATTTTTTTGATTGTGCATATTCATCTGGGGCTATGTGCACAAGTGTGTCAGGTCCTCCAAAGCAGAAGTTACCAGCAGTTGTAAACTGCCTAGTGTGAGTTCTGGGCACCAAACTCAAATCTTCTGGAAAGAGCAGCAAACCCTCTTAGCCACCAAAGCATCTCTCCAGCCTCCATATCATCATTCTATTCATTAGTGCTTGAGAACCATCATTATTCTATCCTATAAATGGATGACATAAGGTATTATTCTTGGACTAACATGGGGGTGGTTTCCAAATTTTCTTTCCTTCTAAAACCAAAATAGTGATGAATATTCTTATAAATAAACATTTTGATAGCTATTAACTTAGGGTAAATTAAAATGTTGTTTTACTTTCTGCTCTTGTGAAGGACTCAGGTTTGTCCCCTCAGCACTCACATGATGGTTCAACCCTGTCTGTAACTCCAGTTCCAGGGGATTAAAAGCCCTCATTTGGCCTGCATGTCCTCCTGCATGCATGGTATTTATATAAACTTATGCAAGCACACACATAAACACACAAATAAAATAAACGCTGTCTCCAAAGGCATCAATCTTTCCAAGACTTTGCTAGGAATAGTTCCCCTCTCCATTCCCACCAGCCTGTCATGCTCATGGAGCAATGTTATTCCTCTTTGTGTCAGGGTCAGAGGGACACTATGAGTGTACTTGGATGTATCATCTGTTTTGGTTACCAGTATGTTAAATGCTCATAGAGACCAGACATGAGAAGTACTCAGCCTTAGGGGACAGCTGCTTTTGCAAGAATGTCATCTTGGGCTTAGGGAGATGGCTCAACTGGTAAAGTCTCACAAGCACGAAGACCCGAGTTCTGTCCCCAGAACCTGTGTGAAGATGCTAGGCATGGTGGTTCATACTTGTAACTCTAGCAGTGGAGAGGCAGACACAGGAGGATGACTGGGACTAGTTCATTGGTATAATGAAAGCCCCGGTCTCAAAGGAGGTGGATAGCTCCAGTGTAGTAAGAGCTGTGGGCCTCTTCCCACAGCCCGGCTCCTGGCCGCCTGGCTAGCTTATACCCCAAAATAACAACACACAAACTGTATTCATTTAAACACTGCTTGGCCCATTAGCTCTAGCCCTTACTGGCTAATTCTCATATCCCGATCAACCCCATCTCTAATAATCTGTGTAGCACCAGTCTTACTGGGAAAGATTCAGCATCTGCCCGGGAGAGGGGAGCATGGCGTCTGAGCTCACTTCCTCTTCTTCCCAGCATTCTGTTCTGTTTACTCCACCCACCTATGTTCTAACCTATCAGGGCCAAGCAGTTTCTTTATTAATTAACCAATGATCTTCCTCCATCACTCCAGGAAGATGACAGACAAGGGTTTCTTCTGGTCTTCACATGCGCATGCACACATGCAAAGAAGAGAGAGGTGTCATCTTCTCATCTGCTTTTGTTCATTTCCTCTTTTTTAAAAAAAATTCCATTTATTAATGTGCATGTGTGTGCATTCATGTGTGTGATATAATCGTGAATAAATACATGCATGCCATGGTGTGCCCATGGAGACAGTATCTTCTTCCACCATGATGACTGAACTCATGTGGTCAGTTTTATAGCAAAAGCATCTTTACCTGAGGTGCCATCTCACTGGTTCCTCAGCTTCCACCTCAATGGTCCTATTTGTTTTCTGATCCTTAATTTAGACCTTGTACCCTGTAGGACTCCTGTCTACTGGCCTTTCCATTTCAGAGCTGCCTCAGAGTCAGGGTATTTAATGAGGCCATCTTCATAGTGCATGCTTGGCCTCTTAGATGTTCCATTTATTTGGAGGCCTTTGGAGGTCTAGATCTTAGACCTACTTAAGACTAAAATCTAGTCTTTGAGAATATCATTTATGTATAAATAAATGAATAAGATCATATCCAACCCCATTTTCCCCACCAACTCCAAATGGATCTCTCCTAATAAACCTTCTGTTTGATTTTGTTACTTGTTTTTGTTTTATGAGACACTACAAAGCTCTGACTGGCCTAGAATATCCTCTGTGAACCAGGCTGGCTTCAAACTCATAGAGAGCCACTTGCCTCTGTCTCCTGGAGTACTGGGATTAAAGGCTCACACTACCATGCTCAGTCTAGAAGCTACTTTTTAGTGTTCGTGCCTGTTTGGTGTTTGAACAACTACTTAAACCGAGCTACCTGAAAAATACAGTGCATGGAGACAGATTCACCCTAATTTTCCCAGCACCCTCTAGGAGCTCTCACCAAACAGGCTTGGGCTTCCTCTGTGGGAACAGACGCCTCCTTCGATCTTCTGCCTGGCCTTTGTGTATTCAGTGTTTCCTAAGACCTTTAGTGCTGCGACAGCATCTACTCAGAAGCTGCAGCAGGCAGTGGGCTCACTGCTTTAGCCTTTACCTTATGCTTTTTAGGTTTTGTTTCTGTTGCTAAGATGCTGACGTTAGCCTTTGGCCTATAGTAGTTTTGACAAATATGGAGGCTGTGAGCCAAAGGGGCTGTGTCTCCGCAAGGCTGTGTTGCGACACGTTCAACTCCAAGTCATGTCAGTTGCAACAGATCTTGTGCTTTAACGAGTACCTTGGCTATCTGAGAATCAACCGATCGTGGCTTTATGGGCCTTTCAGGGGAAGCTGCTGCTGGGCTTCAGCTCTCGGAGCTGGGGAATGTGCAGCAGCATTGGGAGCCAAGAGTATAAACAGCCAGAACAATATGTTCAGCATTGAGGAAATATGGCTAGATGTCGCAAACACAAATTACCTAACCAGCCCTGTAGCCAAAGGCATTTCCTCTGTACATTTTACCCACTTCAGTAATGGCGGCCAGAGTGCACTGCCCAGCCTTCTCCATCATGGATGTCTGTGTAGTGGGGAGCATTTCTTCAGACTTGGCTTGGACTGATCTTGGTCTTTCATTAGATGATGGACTCTGTTGAACTTTCTATTCAGTATGGAGGACCATGGGCCTGGGAGGGAAAATCACTAGGGAGAAAGAGGAAGTACCATGTGTGACTGGGCAAGAGAGAGCCATCAGTTTGAGAACCAAAACTGCCCTAAACCCATGGATTCTGAGACTTTCCCAGCTTCCCATGTGCCACCCACTGTTGTAGATAAGGACACAGGAGCACAGAAACAGACTTCTGAAGCTTGGAGTTTTAAGTGTTTTGGCGGTGTCATTCAAGTGGAAATGGTAAAAATAGCGAAAGATTCTTTAGGCTTTGAATAGCTAGATGAAGAGGTCAGTTTTGGGTCAAATTACTGCCCTCATTCCTTCTGTTGGAGAGTTTTTCAGAGCCCTTGTACCAAAAGGGTTCAGAAGAAGCTGGACAACATAGTGAGGATGCTTACTAAATGGGCAGTTTGTGCTTCTCTTGTCTGTCAGCAATGAATGGTAACTGTGTGAGAATTGTGGGTTCAATCAGCCACTTTTCTGTGTGCACCCTGTAAATATCAGGTTGTAAATCTTAAATATGCCCAACAACCTTTACTTTAAAATAACTAAGCAGGAGAGGCCACAGAGTACCCCAACAAATGCACTGGCCCCAGCCTCCTCTTCATCTTTCATCTTGTGACTAGAGAAGGTTCATCAAAAACAGAGTTCACTCTCAAGTCATAAAACACCCAGTGTTTCCCAGATGCCTTATGGTTAGTATCATATCACATGACTTGATTGCAGGACAGCTCAGCTAGGCAGATATCACTAGTTCTATTTTATAGATGGGGGGGGGGCACAGGGCTCAAAGGGTAACTTTTACGGTCTCTGAGCTACAGGCAGTATCTGAAGCCAGGGCAATCTATTTGGAACCCGTTTGGTTGTTCTGTACCTCCCTGATGCAGAATCCCTTTGTCCTGCAATCAGAGAAGACTGTTCTTGGGCAAGCTGGAGACTGAAGCTGTCACAGTTGTGTTGAAGGGGAAACAACCTGTGGAAAACCAAATTTGCAAAACTGTTCAGCCATAATGACCACAACTCAAAGACCCAGGTCCAGGAGGCACCAAAACTGTTTCAGACAGAGCCAGAAAAGAGATAATACCTGGCAATTTCTCTTCTTTCCTTACAATAAAAATGAGAATTGGATTCCATGCAAGTTGCTGTTGGTGAAGCTGAGGAAAACCAGCAAAATTGGAGATCTGTGCTTCTCTTCAGATGGGAAAGAATATTCGAGAATGAAGAAGAAGGCAAGAAAAAGCATACCATAAGAAAAGTAGAGTTCAAAGAAAACATGGCCCTGTAGGTAAAAGAAAAGTGACTTCTATTTTTCATAAGAATCTATTTAAAATTTTAGACAGGAAGTGCTTAATGTCTTGTTTTTAAATTGATTTCTCTCTTCTATCAGCAGTACCAGAATAATTGCTTCTCTGCAATGCCCCCTTGTTGTGCCGCGCAAAGGGGTGGCAGAGGGAAGTGTGCGAATTGAATGT